GGGGGGGGGGGGGGGGGGATCACGATGGTTTCTTCTTTTTATTTAAATATTTATTATTTTGATCGATAAGCGATGCAGAACTTGCACAAATACCAACGAGCCGCGAGCGGCGCAACAGGCTCGATAACGGAATAAGAAAATTCTAGGGATTACAGGCAAATATTAATGAATTTTTTTCTTCTTTTTTCTTTCTTTTCTTTTTCATTGGTACAGAAAAAATGGCCATCGCTGCTTCGGAGAATTATCAGCTCAAGTGGCACAGTTATGGCGCGCATCTGCACAGTTCTGTCGCGACGTTACTCCACTCAGAATCCTTCGCGGATGTCTTATTAGCGACGTCCTGCGGCCGGCACGTGGCGGCCCATCGATTCGTCCTTGCGGCCTGCTCGTCGTATCTCAGTCATATTTTTCAAACATGTCATTTCGGTGCGAACACGAATGCTCCTATAATCGTGGTACGTATATAGCATAAATTCCCGTAAATGTTTGAAAAGGTTCCTCTTGATGGGACATACAGAGTATAATTTTGTGGTAGCTTCAATAGTAGATGACACTCCATTGTGGATATCATAAGAAAAATTGTCTAACGTATCTACATAAGTCAATAACGAATATTACATTTAAGGTACTACCAACGGAAATTGGCTATCGTACGCTCAAGATCCTGATCCAGTACATGTACAGCGGAGAGGCAACTGTGACGAACGATCAGCTGGAGGGTGTATTAAAGGCCGGTGACATACTACGTGTCCGTGGCTTATGGCGATCCAACACCGGAAGCAAAAAGGAGAATATTCAGTCGAACAACCAAAAGGTCGACCGGGACAAACGAGAACAACCACCATTAACCGGACAAATTCAAAAGATCAAGCTGGTCCAACCGACCACAGAGAAAGTCGTTGAGAATGTACAATAAAGAGTGTTGAGAAGATCGAAGAGAAGATTACCGATCCGGAACTAAAAAAGATGTTAGAGGATAATAAGAATAATGAACAGAATAAAAATAAGGAAAACCTGGAGGCCAATGGAAAGAAACGGAAAACCACTAGTAACAGCGATGTAGAATCCAATAAATCTAAAAGCGAGGACGGTGAAAACGTAAGACGACTCGTAAATATGCACTGTTGAATGGGATCGTTCACTTTTTTATGTATATTTCAGACGGAGCTGAATCTGGAACTTTTAGTGAAAGACGAACCAATCTGGGAGGAAACTATCGACCCGTCGGAGTCGTTGACGATAGACCATGAGATTGATATCAAACCTGTACGTGGAACCGTCAAAAAGATTATCGTGTATGAGGGAAAATCGTAATGTTGTAATTCATTATTTACAGGAAATCGTACATAGTGCGGACGAGGAAGAAGAATACACACCATTAACGTGCGATATGTGCAGTCAAACGTTTAATCGGCCGTCGGACTGGGTGAGACACATTGAATTTACACACGCCGATATGACTGAAAATCGAAGGAAAAAGAGAAAGGTTAGTGTGCTCTTGACAACATAACAAATATTTCGAATACGTACGATGTTAATTCTGGATTATTTTCAAGGGTGATGTGGATGACGACAGCAAAGATTTTCCACCCTTGAAATGTGACCTCTGCGGTAACATGTATTCGACGCCTCAAGAATGGGTACGTCATATACAAACAGAACACACGGAAGAACAGTTGGCTTTAATGAACAACTCGGCGCCACCTAAACCAAAAAGAGTTCACAGCCACCAAAAATTGTGCAACATATGTCAAAAAGAATTCCCAAGTCATGCGTCGATGGTAATCCATCAAAGAACACATACGGGGGAAAAGCCTTTTCTCTGTTCCTATTGTAAAAAAGGCTTTAACGTTAAAAGTAATTTACTAAGGCATCTAAGGACATTGCATGACAAGTATGTACATCCCAGTTTATACGGGAGTAACGGCAACACTAATGCTTAAGCTCTTATAATTTTCGACTGTACACGTCTCTTTTTCCTTTGCTGATATCTCATTTACAAAGTGAGCATCACGCAACATCCTGATACTTTTCAAATCATGCTCATAGACTGAAGGAATAATGTCTATGGATTAACGGCTCTGCGTAAATGCAACATATTGGTCCAAAAACTTCGAAAGGTCGATCGAAACGCGCGTGGCATCTTCTTTGAAAATGGGCAAACGTTAAAGATCTTTTAAAAGTTTAAAAATAGATAACTTGATCTATTCCTTTCGTGTATTCAATTTGACAAACGGTGTATTAACGCGAATACGTATTTGATAATGAACGTTTTGTAAAAATGATTCTTTTAGTTTTAAATTTCAAAGCTGTTCCGTTGATAACACAAAAGCAATATCAGGGCTTTAAAACCAAAGAGGCTGATTACTATTGCCAAAGTGTCTTGTTTCGTTGCGACTTTAATTTGTTTGAACATAGAAACAAAATATGAAAAAGTATTTATTTTAAATTAAACGTTTGATTTAAACATGTATGAATAAGAACGACGATATACAGGTCTTCGCAGTATGTGCGTGTAAAATAATTCATAGCTCATAAATTATCATCTATTGATTAATATTTAATTACTTAGCAACTGTACGAGATCCAAAATGTGTAAGATTTAACTGTATACTTCTAGGCTATTCCATCCATGGTAGCCCTCTTATTCCCTCAGCTCGTAAGCTAATTATGTATTTTTATATTAAACTAGCTTATACACAAAAGGTATAAGAGATAAGATAAAGTAACAAAAAAAGTAATTTGAACTTTTAATTAGGCTAGGACGTAAGGATAACACATAATTCAAAATTTATCAAATGTTTTGGAAATGTATTGAGTTCTTCTTACATATAAAAGAGAGATCGCAATATTATCAAAATATTGTCACAGTTTATGAAACGGTAACAATATAAATCTTACGAGAATGACACCGTATTACCATGTTAATCATGATCGTGTCACTCTTACTATGAATCTTAGTGTCAATTCTACGTTGCGCTAACACTGTGACGAGCCAAATGACTTTTAAATGTAAAATTTAAATATATTACCTTCAAAGTATTTTTTAACTATCCTTAATCATTCCTTCAACAATGAATAGCAAAATATACCTTCTCTTTTTGTTTCATACATATAATGCTACCTGTCTTGTTTCGTGTAGAATTTCAAAAATACTTAATCTCTAATACCGTGATAAATAAAAAAAAAAAAAAAAAAAAAAAAACAAACAGTAGGATCGCAATACTTATATAAAATTAACTGGTATGCTATAATACACTGCATTAACAATGTTATAGCTTATATACCAAAGTAAGTCCTTCAGAATCTTAATTTTCTTCATCATCATCAATTTTCGGAGCGAGGTAGTATCTGATATGCCCAATATCACCGATTTTGTATTCACATACTAGAGGCACATCATTGGACATGGATAGCTGTACTTGCGCGCAAAGAGGTCCAGCTTTGATAAAGCAATTAAGGTAACGGCATGAGAATGTTAACTTCACTGGTTCTTGCATATTAACAGATACTGCTTCTTCTTCATTGTCCGCGTCCGCTGTTTGTGCTAACTTGATAGTGGCTGAAACAGAAGAATATCTTGTATGAATACACACTGACAACATTATATAATAATGTCAATTGTACAGATATATTTTTACATTTTACAATATACACATCTTGTAATTTATTCGCATTTTTAAATGAGTTTCACTAGAGAGAAGTATAATTTCTTTAAATACGAAAATGTAAACAAGCACAGTTGTGAGACACACGACCAGAATACACAACCTTATCTTTACGAAGACAAGGTCAAGCAAGTAAATACATTCTAGGACATTACTTAATTTCAATCAGTTGCTAGATAGCTTTTGTGCTTGAAGAATCTTGATTGCAAGATGTTACAGAGCCAAAGAAACTACTACACAGTCGAGGTAAGTGTACACTTCCTATTGATACATCAAAACAAAAGGACTTAATGAAGATATGTGATTCAATGTTTTTTCTTACACACACACCCACCCACACGCACGCACGCACACACACACGCACGCACGCACGCACAAATATATACATATACATGTGTATTTCTATGAAAAACTGATATACCTTGGCCATAGTCTCCAGAAGCGCTGAACTTTATGCCCTCCTTAGAGCATGCAAATGTTATAGATTCCCCAAATTGACTTAGATCTCTACATATACGGGAAAATTCTTGAGATGGCATTTTCACAATACACGAATACGAAGTTTCCTATAAAAATCAACAGAGTACAATAAAGAGATTTGTGTGTAATTCTTAAGTAATGCAATAATGTAGAGGAAAAGAAACTTACAGGAATACCAAGGTGTTCCTGATCCATATTGATAAGTTTCATCTCATATTCAGCAAGTTTCTCTTTGTTTGGCGATTCAAATATAAACACAATATTTTCTGGATTGTCCAGTGCTCGCAAAGTGACTGTATCTTCTGAGCCAGCGCATCGTAAAATTTTAGACATGCTAAAAGAATGTAATTTGCTTAGTTTCACTTATTACCAAACAATTATTCAATCATATTAGATAGGAACAATCCTTTGTCCTTAGAAATATTGCTCTTCTTTTTCTATTGTGAGTAGAAATAACCCTACATAGTAATAGTTATATTGAAAATTATAATAAGCCTTACCATGCAATACTCATACCCATTGACAAGTTTCTATCGCATCTGTATTTATCAAAACCATCACTTCTAAGATTAAGGGAAACCAAAGAAACATGAGCGTTGTCCATGGCCTGGACTTGGATGCCGGAATCGGAGCATTCGAAGGTAGCTTCGGTTAAAAGATCCTTTATTGCATCCAATACTTTTTTCAGGATCGCGCTCTGTACCAAACGTGCCTCGAACATTTTGCCGGTTCACTTTTCTTTAGCTATCAGTGGCTATCAGTTCGTAAAACCTGGGGTTAGATGCAACAGCTACAATCACTTGAAAGAATTGTTGAGACCGGTAACGTTACCCGCGCTTTCTTACCGCCTGAACGTCAGGAACAGTCAGGAAGTAGATGGCATTCTTGAACACCGGAAACGTATTCAATTGTCGAATTGAATAATACATACCGATAATACCGAACGTTTATTAAACTTTAATTCGGCGCAATGGTACTTATATACATACTCATGTATATGTAACCCAATAGCTTTCGACTAATTTAGTTGAATTTATTAGAGACAATAAAACACCTCTTAGCGTAATATAAATTTCAATTTGTTAATTTATTTTACATAAAAAATGTCCAATGTATGTACGTGTGATCGTGTATATAAAAATGTAGTATTTGAAAACCTTCATCCGGAAATACATATTTCGCAAATGTATCAATTGTGATTTGAATTTTATAAATATCTAGAATTAATTTTGATGTCCTAATTAGTATTATTTTCCTAAAAAAACGAAGTGATGACGAATACAATGTTTATAAAAACAGTTTAATAAAAATGGTCACAGTAATAAAAAAAAGTAATTGGGATACGAAACGAATACGAATTAAATGTACAAAATAAGTTGAATCAAACTAAAAATAATCGTAGGTATACGTACAATTGTTCTGGAAAATTTTCTATCGGCACAATTTCAGCATAAAAATTTCTAGGTTGAAAACATATGGATGTAAAAGTATTTAAATACGATTCAATTACTAATATCATACTTAAATAAATGCAGTCTCACTCGTTACAGATTACAACTAGAAATATTTACACATTATGTACGAAATTAAAAGTGTTTAAAAATAGAATACTAATAAACGGCGTGGCAATAGGACATGCTCGTTTAAATGCATTAAAAACCGATGTCACCAGCCATATTCTCCAATTCATTGAACATCTGATCAAGGTGCTGAAACGAAAATTTTTACAAAGTTACATTTGCACAATTTTATTCGATGCTTTACTGTAAATAATTAAGTGTGATCTACATACATCAGATGGGTCAGTGTCTTTCGCGATTTCTTCTTGTTTGTCACTAAACGATAAGCTACCATTTTCATCTATATCTACTGCCTCATCCACTTCTTCATAATCGTTTTCATTATCCTCGTCATTATCATCGGAGTCGTCTTCTTCTTCTTCTTCCTCTTCGTCATCGTCGTCGTCATCGTCATCCACATCGTCATCTACATCTTCATCAGACCGAATATTACATGACATGTCCATTTCTTCGTAATCTTCTGGTTCTTCCTTAATTTCCGTAAGCAGTATCGTTTCCGGAACTGATTCTCTTTCATTTGAACAAGGTGGAGGTGCCTCTGATGCTGGAGGAATTTGAGGCGGTTGACTGGTCTAAAATATTATTAATGTTAAACATTTCTGATTGATCATTTATATATTTAAAATAATTCAATAATGTAAACTACTTATATGTTTTTACCCATGGTTGTTGTTGCTGTAATTGTGCAGATTTAACGGATGCAATTGAGGTCGGTACAGGTGAAGACGAAGACGAAGACGATTGCAAATTCGTGCATTTTTCTTGTTCCAGAGACGTTATTTTATTCTGTGTTTTACTGGAATTTTCTTGTAGTATATTTGCTACGTTCCTTTCTAGGTTTGGCAAATTTTTATCTGCATGGTTAACCTTCTGTTCCTTCTTTAATTGTGAATTAGTATTTGGTTCCTCTTTTACTTTCTTAACATTTGGTTTTGGTTCACCGGGAAGACAAGTATTACCACGCTGTCTTCTAAACCTAACAATAATACTTCTGGTATCCCACATTAAATCATGTGCTTGTTTGTATGCAGATATAGATTCATCTACACTATTATACCTTATAAAAGCATATCTGAAAGGTAAAACAAACACCACATTACAGGTGCATAGATAAAACATTAATATAATATTCATTGAATATTATAAATAAAACTCACCGGGTATTTCTCATTTTCTGTGCATACCCTACATCTACTCGAGCAGCTGTGGGAAACTTACTTTTTACTTCATTAACATTAACAGACTCTGGTAAATTTCCTATGTATAATGTATAAGGGTCTATTTCCTCAGGCATTGGATTATCCTCATCCCTTAGGGATTTCCGTTCAACTTTCAAATGACCAATGCCAAAGGGGATTTTCTCCAACTCTTTTATAGCCTCATCAATATCAACACTCTCTGCCATTTGTATGAAACAATATCTAGGACCACTAGGACTTTGAAAATGTATGTTTTGTATACCAGGGTGAAATTCCCGAACAATATCTTTATTAAGATCAGGATCTGGGAATTTGATTATTAGACTTTGAGCTTTGACTGTTTTATTATATTCATTCTCAATCTTCAAAGCTCTTTCTGCATCTTCTCTGTTCCATGGTCGACTAGGATAACTTTGTGACATAGGTTTCCTTTGTTTATTCTTTTTAACTACAACTTCTTCCTAAAATTAACAATTCAGATTTTGTAATCGAATGAACATCTGATGAGAAAACATCTGATATTTACCAAAACTATTTTAACATCTTGATCTGAAGTTTCCTCCCCATGTCGATTTGTTAAAATTCCTGGAGGAATGGAGGGAAGAGAATGATTAGGAAGAGGAACAGGCATGTGATTCATAATAGCATCACTCGTAGTTGTAGGATAATTGGTTCTCTGCCATTCCAAACCAAGACTACTACTCAATGTTGCACCGAAATAAGCTGCCTGCTCAAAGTGACCCTGAGACTGTCCAAATCGTGCAAGCCTTCTATTTTTACGATGAAAGTTATTTCTTTGAACATATATATTGCTTCTATTGTGATTAAACCTTTCACGTCTCATATAATTACCTCTTAAAGGCATTTCTCTTTGAAATGAGTTAGCAGTCATATCACGTGGGGGTGGAGGTGGTAGGGGTGATGTTTGAGGTGTTATCCATTGCCATGGTGCAGGAGGATGTGTCCATGCTTGAATTGGTGTAACTTGAGAAGGCACTGGTCCAAAAACATGAGGAGGTGGTGGGACTCCACTGGATGGTGGAGGCATTGGAGGTAACGGGGGTTGTCCAGGCAAAGGTTGTGTCACAGTTGAGGTAGATGAAGATGAAGTAGTATATACAGGATAGGAACCTTCATATCCAAAACTGACACACTCTTGCTTGACAAAAGATCTCTTTGCCTCTCCATTTTCTTCTGTTACCTAAAAAAATGGAAAATTATGAATTAAAATTATCAAGATTCATACAAATCTAAATACTATTAAATAAAATTATAATTTAATAATATTAATCTAATATTGTTTACACCTAATCATTACACATCTATGTAAAATACGCGAAGGTATTTCCAGCAACCGCTGTCAAACTAACCTTCCTTAAAGATACCCTTAACAAAATTAATGGAAATTTATTATAATTATTATTGTAAAACTACGGTAAATTGAAAAATATGTATTTACCGAACGTTTCATAATGCAGACAGAACTGTTGTTAATTTTTAAAGAATAATTGCGCTCTTTAACTTATAATGTAAATACATCGTTTACGTGAAGCAACGAGGGTGACCAGTATAGAAGCTACTGGTTGTTGCGGTGCACAACAAGGGTACCAACCCTTATTTTATTAGAAATTTCAAGTTTTCATGATCCAGCATCACCTGACTATTATTGTCCGAGCTTTCAGATCTAAATCATATCCTTTGGTAAAAAATATCCAAACGAATAATTATGTGTCATTTGACTGTAATGAAGCCAAATGCAATTCTGGCAAATTATTTTATCTCCTCCATACAAATATACAAACTGGTAGAATGGATTTATATCGAATATCAGAATCATATTATTTTGTAATTATAATTGTTTATTATATTTCTGCATGTTCTATGTACAATTCACATCATGTATCATTAACAAATTTTATATTTCATTTTGGGTACTGCAGTTCTATATAAAAGCATTTTTTATTAAATTTCCAAGTCACACATTCACAATAGACACACTATATATATATATATATATATACCCATGCATGTATAGTATTGTGATGCGTGTGCCCTATATACATATAATATTGTATATGTACTTCTGAATTCGGAGAACAAGAGAACGTCAAGAATATGAACAAAACAATCTCATCAATGTGACAAAAATATTGAAATGAAACAAAAGTAATTGGTGTTGTAATCACGGACTAAATAATGTGTTATGTTAAAAAAATTCCCGCACTGCTACAATAATTTCTGTTTATCTACAAACAATAATAAGGCTACCAAAACAAGAGATACATATATAAAAGGATTGTTTGTTTTCAAGATTATATTCTTTTTACTGTTTTCATGTTGTTTTGGTATTCATTGGTTACATCATAATAATAAAGCATAATTAAACATCTTATTAAATTTCGTTGCGACAACTTTCCGGTGCGCCGACGCGATTTAGCGTTTCTATCTTAGGGAAAGGATAGTTGATGCAAAAATTTCTCCGATAGATGCCCTTCCCGTTAGTTCACTGAGCGAGCATATTGTGCGTGTAGTCGGTGTGACATGGCTACGAGCAATACAGAAGAAATTGAGGTATTATTTTGTAATATTTTTTATGTTTCCCTACATATTCACTGGCAGTATTGGGAAGAAATTTGCGTGAATTTTCTTTATAATAGCGTGGTCACTCGACACCCTTTACCCCTCCCATCTGTTCCCATGCATGGTGAAAACTGTCTTAACGAATTTAAAAAAAGCATATTATATTACTCGAACAGATTACTTTAGTATGTGTCACACTTATGGACAGAAATATTATATCAGATCCAATTAACAACGTTTTATAAATATCATACATAAGAGAAAGTAGAAATCAGCATGTGTATATGCATATTAATACAGAGGTTAAAACAGCTATGTAGATAGAAAATTATAACTGTAATTATTTCTAGGAAGTTGAAGGGAAGGAGCATGAAATAACCAATTTCGATGAATTTCCACCAGAAGTTTTAATCAAACATCCACTTCAACACACGTGGACCCTTTGGTATTATGAACCGGATAGGAATAAATCATGGGAAGAGAGCCAAAGGAAAATCACAAGCTTCGATACAGCAGAAGATTTCTGGAGGTATTATAAATCTTGTTCCAGAATATTAACTGAGTTGTTTTTGAGGTTTGTAGAATAATAAACATTGATTTTCATTGTCAGTTTGTACAACCATATCAAGGCTGCATCTGAGCTAAGACAAGGTTGCGACTATAGCATGTTCAAGCAAGGAATCAGACCAATGTGGGAAGATGATGCCAATAAACGTGGTGGAAGGTGGCTTATAAACTTAGATAAGAAACAAAGAGCCACAGATTTAGATCACTTTTGGTTAGAGACTCTTTTATGTATGATTGGTGAAGCTTTTAATGGATACTCTGATGATGTTTGTGGAGCTGTAGTAAATGTAAGGCCAAAAGGAGATAAAATTGGTGTATGGACTGCAAATGCTAGTAGTGAACATAGTGTCATAGAAATTGGGTAAGTTAGACAGAAATATGCTTTTACCAACATATATTTACCGATCACCTAATTATATAGTTATGTTCTGTTTTACAGGCGTAAACTGAGAGAGAGATTAAAAATCACATCAAAAGTATCTATAGGATATCAAATACATAAAGACATTATGCTCAAAGTAGGAAATCAAACAAAGAATGCTTATGTTATCTAAAAACTGTTGATGTTGCATTAATGTCACGATTTCTTACTTATACAAAAAAAAACATTAAACTGGATTAACAACGCATTAATAACATACAAAATTGAGTCAGATTATTATATAAAACATTTTAAATGAAAATTTAAAAAAAACTACATCTCCATTGTAGCCAAATATTTTCCTAATGAAAGTAATTGAACAAATGCTAATAAATATGCACTGAAACAGATGTATATGGTATTAATATAAAAATTTATATTGATGTAATTTAGAATTAGATTGTGAAAGATACGCACAGGATGCTGTATTTTTCAGAAAGAAACATAAATCATACAATTATAAACAATGGTTGTTCAAACATATGTCATTAAATACTTTTCTTTACACACACGCACACACACGCACACACACACACACACCTTTCTTTCATGTGTAGTACACACCATTCATATAAAAATGAAGACTGCTTTAATGAAATTTTTTAAAAGAAAAAAAACCTATAAAACTAGGTTGCCAGTCTTTGAAGATGAAAATGTAAGAAAGCACAGCAACCTATTTAAGAATAATGTAGTACTATTTAAATAACATTCTCACTATTATTTAACAAACAGTTATACTTAAGAATGTCTTAAAAATATATTAAAAATATAAATTCTTGTTTCCGCATATATGTCTAAATACACATATCTTTTTACTTTTAATTATCCCGAAATAAATGATAATATAAGTGTTAATTGATACTAGTGTTTATTTTTAATAAATTTGAAAGAATTGAACTATTTTACTGTTCTATTTTCGTACATAAAATTAATCTTTCAGCAAGTTCTTTCAGATCTCTTCGTCTTGCTTTTTCTAATGCATGTATCAAGTTCAGTTTCCAATTGCCTGTACTATATTTGAATACACATACTTTTAAAGCCTAAAACATATTATTCCACATCACGTTAATGTAAAGGTTTGTAAAAAAAAAAAAATAAACATTACGTCTTACCATATAACTTTGTGCTTTCATGTCAAAAGGATGTTTATTTTCAATGATATCAATTTGACTCTCGGGTATACCTAAATATCTGACTGTGTCTCTCCAAGACCGTCCAATTCGTTCACTGATTTGTAATAAAACTTTAAAAAAATATATAATACTTATTGATGAAAAATAATCAATGTTACGTACTACAAAAAAGGAATAATCAGTACCCATTTGTTGAAGCATTTCTTCCTGTTTGGAATGTCTTTTAACATTTGTTACACATTTCTGTGATAATGTCTCACATTCAGATTTAGTACCTTGCAGCTTTGGTTGCAATATCAGCTCTTTAACTTCTTTTGACAAATCTTTTTTGTTATTATCTTTATGATCTACTGAATATTGCATGAAAATGATTAGAAAAGTATATGACAATTATGCACAACTATATATCAAATAATTAATAGAATAATGATAAACGATTTAATTTGAATCAAAGACTTACCATTGGCATCTTGATACATGTTACAAAATTTTGAGTAATTTGTGTTTTCACAATAAAATTTGTAATCATTTATCTTGTTTAACACATGAGAATCATTTAAATAATTATTTGCAATATAAACAAGAGGTTCCACATTATTAAAGTTAAGAGTATCTCGTTTTTGTAATACTTTTAATAATGTGTTTAAACCTTTAATTTGGCTTAATTTGCGGTTTGAATTTATGCAATGTGCATAATAATCTTTAAGATTATTCAATATATGATCATTGACAAACGTTTCAGCAGTAGATAAAAATTCTTCAAGGAGACAATTGTACTTGATTTCCACTGTCATGGTATGTTATGTATTACTTAGTTTTATACAGGGGATTCCCTCTTTCCAAGGTAATCAGTGTGTAAACCTTGTAATTGATATCTGTAAATTTTCTGGTACAATCTGAAAGAGACTATTTTAATATTTCCATAGATTGTACTTTATGCAACATTCAATAAAATACATGATATAAATTTACATTGTCAATTATACTGAACAAATTACAGTATTTCAACTGATAATAAACTTTTGTTTTAAATAAGTTGATAACCGTATCATACGTTTGTCCTTTAAATAATAACAAAAGTTGTATAAATTTTGCTTCTTATTCATAGCTTAGGCAGTACTGGGTAGTACATTTTCTATAAATAAGTTATATATTTTGTACAGCGCAAATTTCATACGTACCCATCCAAATTCACTGGACTCAACCGGACTCACCTCATTCACCTCACACCACGGTCGGTATGTATACACAAGTCTAGAAACTTCCATGGTGGCGATGGTGATCCCTTATTAAGTAGAGATGGCGTGAACTGCTACTTGTGAATTACTCGTGATTCGATCACGTTCGTTCTCAATCACGGTAATTTTTCACAGTGATTCGTGATTTCTCGTGATCGTTTCTGATTGGTGGAGAAACCTAACAATTCTTTACACGCGACACATAATCTGTATATTTTATATTTTATATTAACGACATCAAAACAAAAATTCGAGTTATATCGTATAAAGTGAAAGAATAATTAGAAACAATGAAGAATAATGAATAAATTAATGATTAAAAATTATAATCTACATGTTACTAAGGAAATCATTCTTTTAGAATTTCTTGTTTTTTCTACTGATTTTTACAAACACAGTAATGTAATTCATCGTAAAATCATATTGAATACGTTTTTCTGTTTAAAGATTAATGACTTACGATTGCAGTGAGCAAATTCACTCAAGATAAAAAAATCGCAATCACGGTCGTGAATGAAGTTAAACCACGATCGTGATCGTGATTCGGCGATGACTGTGATAAATCACCGTTAGTGTTTTTACACGCCATCTCTATTATTAAGGAAGACCAAAAGTTTCATGAATCTTCCGCTAGCGACGCAGCGCTGCAGTCGTAGTGTACCTACAAGAACGCATGCTGATGCATCGCACGGTCGTATAATGGTCGTATACACGGTGCACCTTGGTGAAGAGGGTAAAGAGTTATTTTCAGCCATTTTGTTCGGAACAGCAACGTGGCAACCGGTACGACCGGTATTGTGACCATTGTGACTACCATGATTATTCGTAAGTATCATTCGGTTATACATTGTTCATAAAATTTTCTTTCCATGCATCCGCGGAGACAAAAATTAATATATGTTCTTCAATCGGTTTCGTGAACGTTTGTTTCATAGTATTTAATCGTTTTTGAAGCAATTTCGCTGAATTTGTTCATTTTGTTCCTTTTACAGAATTTAAATAATATACTTTGTAGTTTAGGTATCTTTTATTTCTAAAAATGAACTTAAAATTTGAGTCAAATTGTCACGTATCACGAAAAATATTGTTTCATACACATTTCTCTTCCTAGTTTCCTACCTTCAAATGATTTGACTGAAATTTATCATTATGCATCTATTTTATCGAAATGTGTGCATATTGTTTGAAGATTTACCTTGTTTCAGTTTTACTATTGGTAACTGCAACCGCGCGTATAACAGTATGTTTGCCAAGCATCGAAGTATTGCAATCAACGAATACTTATTTAACAACGGCTGATAAAATCCATTTGAAGAAAATCCTTGAACCAGGTTTATCATTCAATGACGTATCTTTAGTGTACTACGCTGTTCAGGGATACAGATTTCTCGAAGAACCTCTCCCGAATCAGCAGGTGAGAAACTATCAGTCTTTTCAATGATCATAAGCTGTAAAAGTTTCTTGACTCGTGTACATTGCTAGTAGATTCATGCGTTAATATACCTGAGAAAGCGCAATATATGATGAAAAGTACAAAAACTTGATACGCAGTGATGCTTTGATTAGTCTTTCTGATGCCAATGTGCATTCAATGAGATTTCACAAAAATTTTGTAGCGTTCTTTTTATCGGAGTTTCATGTTTTCAGAATATCTGTGAATATCTAACAAAAGTGATAAAGGAAAACAGCAATATTACAACGGAGAAAGCTTTCTATATTGCCTCTACCTGGAAAGCTATTGGAAGCTGCGGAGAACTTCCTTCATTGACTGTACGAAAAGTACGTACGTGTATAAATGTATTAATTATTAAAACTTTCATATGTTAACATATTATGACATGTATAATGATGTTAAAAAACTTTCGTTCTACTGTACTTTTATAATGAAGAGTATTACATTTGCTGAATGAAAGATTCACGCAGACGAAATGAAGTATAATTGATACCATCTACTAAGGGAAATATCTTTTGCTTGAACAGGTGCTGCTTAGCCCGATAGAAAAGGATGGTTCCAGTATGATAGAATTATATTACGCGGTAAGCGGGTTGACTGCGCTATCTGAAAAACTGCCACGCGATAAAGTGGATAAAATTACAAAAGCAGTGCAAAGTATGTTACGAAAGGATGACAATCTATGGAAGTACGATCTGTTTTCTTAATGTTTTATTGTCGAAGTACCGTCGCTAAAAAGTTATGTAAAGTTAGTTCAATGGGATGAAGGACATGTTTGAAATTTTAATTCTCCTTTATTGAACGTTTTACCAAAATAGCTTGGGTTATACTTTCCACATCGCTTCGGGTCTGGGAACGAGCGACGCATTCGCATTCGATCGTGTCGAAGACGCCATTATTCAGGCCGACGAAGTGGATGGACAATACTTGCAGTTTGAAGGTGGCCTTTCTGTGACTAGTAAGTAATCGATTGTTTGCAATTTTCGTGATTGTATTACCAATTATGGAAAGTATATTCGTTCTTATTTCCAACAACCGTCCTATGCGAACTGTTAACATGAATTATTACCAATGCATTACCTTTTTTTTTTTTTTTATCAATTCCAGGTTTCCTGGTGAACGGTATTTTCAAACTGTCCCATAATCTAAAGAAAAAGCCATCATTATCGTCGCCGCAAATTGTTAAAATGGCTAACTATCTTTTGTCTCGCCGATCTGTACAGACACCGAGGGGCGTCATGAATCTACTTTCAGCATTAACGACTTTAGCAAGCAGTGATTTCGAACAACCAATTTGTGTAACATTAGCCAACGAATGCGTCAGCATTTCAGCTCAACAGCCTTTAGTTACAGTGAAAGTTTGCAATATTTTGGGTGGTCCGGTTACCGGTATGTCCAAGGTAACCGCAAATTCAGCGACACGAATCGGAGATGACGCTGTAATTTTGAGCAAACAAAATCTGCAACCTTCACCAATGGACAAGTGAGTGTTAGTTGCTGCCTTCTATTTTCCCCATTACTTTACCGACTTGGTTTCGTTGTTAACAAGATCGGTTATACCTGGGGATATAATAATTGTCGATGCAACCCTTTGACCTTTCCCGTATTGCAATTTTCCGAAAGGTTAAGAAAATCGACGAACAGCCGTTTTTTTCATTAATTTACAAAAATGAAATACTTGACCTATCTCGTTGTTTCGTAGAACATTATTCACGATGAATCTTATGGAGGCTAAACCGGAACGCGGATTCTACAAGATATCTGTCACGGCAGGATCAGTGACAAATGTCGTCACTGTAAAAGTTCTGTGTAAAGTAGTAGTCGATTATTTAGAGATTGGTACTGGTGACGCTGATCAGACGACACAGCCAAAGCTTACACGGTAAAATTTAGTGGAGTATTCTGGCCACAATAATACTTTTGCTACAGTCTGTATGATAATTATAGAGTAATTCATCCTGAAAAACTGAGTCACAAGATAGAAGCTGACTCCCAGCAAAAATTGGTTATGCGATTTTTACTGAAAGATGACATTAGTAAGAAACCTATGCGCGCACATCAAGTCTTTGTACGGCTTTCGTCTGCTAGTGATTCGAAGGATGATAAGGACAGAAAGAGTCGTGAAATCCTTTTTGTGGCTGAACCCGACACGTCGCAGCTTTATAAGTTCGACATGGTAATTCTTTGTTCTCTTATTCTCTTCCGTCATTATCTCTATTATTTACCATAAGCTTGTTAAAATTTATATATTTTTTTTTATATATATATTTATTGATCGTGGCTTTCGAAATGTTTTAGCCAGTTGGATCCACAGCTGTCAACTTTGATCACCAGAGTGGAGATTATAACGTGGAATTAATTGTTGGTGACGCCATATTAAGCAATCCTTTCCAGTGGACCGTTGCAACAGTTAACTTAAAATTCCCTGAACCGACTTCGAACGAACGAATAGATAAAAGCACATCTTATCAACATAAAACAAACGTTTACACAACCAAGCCAGAGATACAGGTGATAGAGAATGTTTTCCCTGATTGTTCTTCTTGTTTTTTGGTTAAGCTATGTAGAAATACTTTTACAAGCATAGCAGGAACTGTACTTGGAACGTCGGGCAAATAACTCCGCGCGAACCAATGCTCGTTAGTGACAGCAATTATCATGAAATTCTGTCACCTCCTTAACATTGGGACAAAAATATTGCCGTCGGATATACATTTGTTGTTGTGTTTTTTCAATTTTGGCAACATATTTGGAATATTTCCATTCGACGGACACTCATATAAACGTGAAATGTCTATGGTATATTTAATTGCAAAGTAGAAAACCATACAAACTAGTCCTTGTCCTTTGACCTCTAGTACTTGTTTGTTTCAGCATATGTTCCGCGAACCTGAGAAAAGGCCACCCGCCTTCGTTTCCAATCTATTCACCGGTTTGTGTTTGGCTCCGGTCTTTTTGCTACTTATTTTGTGGGCTAAACTAGGAGTGAATATATCGAATTTTCCACTTTCACTGAGCGCTCTCACATTTCATCTAGGTTTGGGAAGTGAGTACATTTTATGGTATTGTACAATGCCATTAGTTCGTATTTGCGGTGTAACACTGCCCGATTGTCGACAAATTGCAACATTTCTGTTTTATTTGTCTTTGTTTGGGCGCAAAGAAAACGTGAAATTTTCGCAAATTCGACAACTGTGTTGTATTTGTAGCCCAATGTTCACGACATTGTGAAAATATTTGAATCCACTTGAGTGAGTAAAGGTAATATTTGTTCAGATAGAAATTTCGTTAACCTATTACGTCTCGTTTCTTTTCAGGTATCTTTGTACTTTTCGGAATATTTTGGTTGAAATTGAACATGTTCGTCACTCTTCGATACCTACTCGGCCTCGGTGTCGTAACATTCCTCGCTGGGAATAAAATGTTATCACGTATAGCTCATAAACACAAGTTACGTTAAATTGTTGCTGCATTGAGAATTTTTCATTTGAAGACATGTAGGGATCATAACCGTAACTCGAATCGGTTTCGGTTCTTAGTAACCGCCTGCAATCCACGTAGCCTACGTAATCGATTATTAGATCTTCTAGAATAACACTGTGAGCGTCGTCCATAACCCGCCCCCGGTATACATGCAGGAACCTCTCTTAGTAACCCGGTTAAAGCAGCGGTTATGATCCCTGAGGTTAAGTCATGGGTATTAATGTCAGTGAACGGGATCTAGTGCTCGCCGTTGGACGTTGTTCATCTTCCGTTCCAGCATGTCTTTGTCAGTTTGATTTAGTCAAGATTTTTTTGTAATAATAAATAATGTTGTCACATTAAAATATACATTACCTTTTACATTACCTATTACAAATTAATTCGTATTGTGTAATTGTTACAATAACGAATGTTTGTAAAAACAAAAAAAAAAGAAAAAATAAATAAATTGTAACTCGATAACACGGTATCCGACGTTATATTTCTTCGGAAATTTTTTTTTTCGAATATTTATTCAGCAGACCACAGACCGAAATAGAGTGGTAGGTGTGATAGTTTTTGGTAACACGTTGGGAGTACCCGATCTGACCAGCGTCGTTTACAGCATTTCACTTACGTGTTCGCCGGTGAAATAATGGATAATGCATCTAAATATGCCTTACACGTTTCCTACTTTTTTTCCTCCTTTCTTCCTTTCTTTTTTCTGCCGTTCTGTTAACCTCTCTAGCTGTATACGCCTTAAACACGTATATGTTTCTTATCAGACTGGGTTTACCACCGCTGTGGGCTAGGATACTGAAAACTACAAAGTTTCTGAAGTATTTACGTACAGATTCAGTTCTAATATCTTTCATTGAGAACTAGGAAACATAGAATACGATGCCTGTCGAAAAAAATGTTTTACAGATTTGCGCAAATTGTTGGCCTCCGTTGCGTACAGATTCCTTTCTATACGCAATTCTGCAGCGATTAATTGGGAAAAGCCGAAACGTTGCCAGAAACGTATTAAAGTTTGAAAATCTTCCGTAACCTGAAAAGAATCTGTGCAAACAGACGATTTCGTCTGAAAAGGACGAGTAGACAAAAATGAAAAAAGAACGTAAGTATACTAAGCGATATTAGTGTTCTAACTAAATCGAATGGTAAAACATCGTCCAGCGTTGCATGTACATGATGATCGACGATCACTGGAAGTATTTTCTCATCTTGCGTTTCGTACTTTCGACAGGTTTGCATGTACGTGAGCATACGTCCAGCCTTCATCGTCAAGTCTCTTAGTTGCTTCGCGGTACAGTTGTATTCGCTGGACATCGTCATTGTTCTTTGCTTATCTTTCTTGTGATCTGGTTAATGAATAATATTAAGAGATCTCGATGTTGTCTCTCAAATAAGCGATTTACCAGAGACGAAGCACTTGGTAGCTTGTCGATAGGTGTTACGAAAGAAATAGGACTCCCGTCTGATATCGTGCAATTCGTTCGCGACATCCCTTCTGTAAGAATGAATTTTTTCACGGAATTTGGCAATCTCATCGAGAAGACACGCGATTCGCAGATTTTGCTCGATAATTGCTTGGCGGTCAGATTTATCTTTTCTCTGAATAATCTCGTAAGCTTTTCTTCGTTCGTCCGTGTCTGTTCAGAAAGAACAAGAAAGGCTGCTTCGGTCACGCGTTTATAACTTATTCGCGTCTATAACAACGGTAGATATACGGTGTACACAAACTTGTACGATAATCAGAGAAAACGCTTCGCAATTTGTCCCCGAGATCTTCGAGTTGTTTTTGAAGTTGTGCCGTAACCAATCTTCTTTCGTTTTTCCCGTCGTCCACAAACGCGTTCACTTTACCTTTAAATGAACATTTTTGTTTTGTGAGATCGAATCAATCGAGTGTCGTTTAGAAAATAGTTGTTGTGTACATATAATATTTTACTTATCGCAGTGCTCTTCGCAATGGTTAATTTATTTTCAGATCGGTAGTTGATAAGAACATTGATTTTCCGTAATGTAGTCTCATCCTTGTTTCGGCTGTAATTTATATCCTCAAATTCGTGAGTTTTGTCAACGAATATCGTTTCGATATGTCCATGGAAAAACGTGTCAACGGCTTCTAAGCGCGATCCGTGTGCTCTCAAGGATCGGTCAATCACCTCCGTGTGAACACCATTGGTTTTTCGTCGTTGATCCTCGGTTTCTTGCAAAGCATCCAACAGTAGACTGATACTGCGCGTGCGTAAGAGATTCTGTAGATCTGTCTCGTCGACGACGAAATCTTCGATCCTCCTCCGTCGCACAATCAGAGACGAGAGAATATCATGTGCGTACACGTACCTGTAGTCCTTGACATCAAGGGCATGCTCCAAGCTCTCCCAAATTATTTCGACTTTTTTCCAGATATCCGGCATTTCCATTCTCACGAGTATCTCTCGCCAAAGACGTAAATGACGTTCGGTATTCATAGCGTTGAATTTGATTTCTCGGTCCAATGCTTTTCGTTTCGAATCTCGTACGTTTATCGGTTTAACTCGTAGCCCTCGACGTTTCCGTTTAGGAGGCATTTTACGATTGAAAATCAGTTTACGGAGGAACGAGGTTCTAGCAATGTTCACTTCGTTTTCAAGCGTTTCCCCTCATCAGTCTGAAGTGTATCGGTCATATTTTCCTCGACAACTGACATTTGTATCGATTTGTTCGAATTCTTGTGGAAACGTAACGTAGAGAAACGATCACTGTTTTTCCGCAGTTATGTACGTACATATATATGTATGTATGTATCGTCGCTGTGCGTATTCATCGGCGCCGTCATCCTTATCATATATTATAATATGCCATGCCATGTCAAGCACAGCGTAACGTTAATATACTTATATATGAAACGTGAACGACAGGCAGTCCTGTGTTATAAATACACCTTCCACTCTAGACAAATAATTTGATGGCGGTATGCTAATTAACACTTCTAGTTATGCGAGTAACTTAAGGTCGCACAGTTGAGACTCGTGGTACACCTTCAAGGTCGTTAAACCGCAGAATCGTTCGGTGAAAGTTCACGGATTAGATGTGTAAACTTGTACATATATTCTACATGATCCTCGATCAATTTTTCTTTATACATAAAAAGACGATCAAATGAAACGATCAGGCGAAAAACTCAAGGGTGAATTCGGTACTTTTATAACAACGATGTTACCGATCGAAGCGTTACAGTGGGGCAACACGAATACGTATATGCAAAGGTATAGGCTTCGAGGAAGCTGCGAAGCAGATTCGCGAATTCCGGTTTTAAATTGAGAAGGAGATGTTACATGGAAGGGATAAAGCCTGGGGATTCTGTGTATAAAAGTCTTTCGCTTCGAAGCGTTCGAACGGTTCACTCTCTACAGACATCAGTTCTAGCAACGTAAGTGTCATCTTCGACGTAAAATCTTGTCTATTTTTCCTCTCTCACGCAGCAGGTATACTTACTTACCCTGCTTTCTGTGTTTAATTCTTTTCCGTTTGTCGTTACCTTGTGCGATTCTCTCTCTCTCTCTCTCTCTCTCTCTCTCTCTCTCTCTCTCTCTCACTCTCTCTCTCTCTATCGACACAATGACACAATTTTGGTGTTACTTTTCAGATGAAATCGCAACAATATTTGCTGGTATCAACTATTGCGCTGTTATCCATGGTGTATGTCCACGCGGCACCATCGATTTCGCACGAGAAACATCTCGCGATCACGCCGCCGCGCGACGTTGAAGTCGAAGAGCAAGTTGTTCGTGAAAAAAGGGCTCCTTTAGGTAAACTGGCTTTACTCGGAGGTGCCGCTCTTGTTGGTAAGAAAGCTCTTCTACTGGGCGGCGCAGCCGTTGGAGCGAAAGCTCTCGTCGGTGCCGGTGTTCTTGGGGCGGGATTGTACAAGGCGAAATAGTAAGTACATTTACACGGTTGCATACGAACAATTTCATCAATTTTTCACATTCCGTTATGTTTGTATATTTTATAATATAAAATATTTCTTTAGCTACGGGGGAGGTTACGGCGGTGGTTACGGGGGTAGTTACGGGGGTAGTTACGGGGGTAGTTATGGGGGTGGATATGCAAGTAATCAGTATGGGTACGTATGCATTATCAAGCGCAATACACAAGTTAGCACTGACATATATTATGTCAGCAAATTTTAATATCAATTATAATTTTTACGTAGATGGTATCGCTGACCGATGGAATACTTACCAGACCAGTATGGAAGAAAGGGCGATAGAATAATAATTTTAATAAGTGTATACTACATAGTCAGGTCGCGCAGAATTAATCGCCTGCAACATTGTAGAACTATTATCAAACGAAAGAATCGATTGGTTTTTCATTGCGCACGTAAACATGTATATTTTTGCAAATTTTTTTAAACCTCACAGTGTTTATTGTGTTTTGTATTGAGAACCGGAAGTGAAATTAAAGGAGAATATCACATTTTTTGTTTTCCTTTGAGTACCGATTGTGAAATTACCATGTCAGGTGTTGGTTTGCACGTTAGCAGTGTTCAATAGAAATCAGCAGAGGCACTCTTTCGTTTAAATAGAATTTGTACATTGGGGAATTTCACCGATCAGTGACGTGCCAGTGGGTTAATCAAGTCCGACAACAGACAGTCCGGTAAAAATTCTGTCCGAATAGGCTTGATTACGGACAAGATTAAGCAATTGGATCGTTGAAAGGTGAAGCACGCAGTCAAACTGTTACGAGATGGATTTCCGTGCCGGTGAATACGAAACGAATTGAAGCGGTATAAGAGTACGGAATTACTTATCGGGTATATGAATATTTGTATCTTTGTTTTTCAGGCAACTTTTCACATATACAGTGTTCTGTGGTCTGTGGCTACTGCAATTTCGTTCGTTCGTTCGATACATTTCGACCGGAGATAAGTATGTACATAGTATGTACGATGTGTACCCGCTTGACTAATGGAAATAGCAAACATTCTCGGGTGAAGGGAAATTTAAAACTAATGTAAGCTTCAGAATTCATGGCGATTCAAGGTTCGTGCAACGTATCGGTAGTAGCCTACTAGTCGGTGTATACATACAGTAGTACGCGTCTTTCTGGATGTGGCCAAAGGGTTACGTACACATAGGTACACCGAACGTCACGCGTTCGGAACGCGGATCATCGATCTCGTTTTCGTTGTCTCGCAGGGATTTCATACTTATTCGTGGCACGCGGTGAACTAAAAAACATTCTGTACGCAATGCGACGTGACACGTCTTGTCCATGTGCCGTCCGGTCCGTCTCGTCAGTTGTCTCGTCCCATCGCGATTTCTTTCATTACCCATTGATTACGTTTTCACTTTTCGAAATAAAATTACTACGTGGTTATGATTATAAATTTATATCGATATATGTATAATACTTACATAGATACATACATACATACATACATACATACATACATACATACATACCTACATAGTATTCAAGATAAGTAACGTTGCCACTTAATTTGCAATATTACGTATCATTGGGTGTCTTGATTTCAGAAGTAAATTTACTCTCATACAGCGTAAAAATATACATTTCTTTGCGACATATCTTTCATTCACATGCGTCCATGATCGTGACACGATCAATGGTAAGGTCTAACTCACAACAGTCGATTTTAATCACGTAACTTTGTCACGAACGATTCATCGGCAAAGACGGAGCGTGCGAACAGGAATACGAATGAATGTAAATAAGTAGTATGTACGATCGGCTGGGATTCTAGTGGTAGTGGTAGGGCGCTGCGTTTCGTAGGTAGGCAGACGACTTCGTATAAAATCAAAGGGGTCTGTTGGAAAGGCGCCACACCACCCGGCATTCTCTGTACGTCCAAGATATTCAGTTTAATCGAGCACAGGGGCAAGGTAAATTAAGTACATACATATTAGGAAGCAGCTGAAACGTACGAGCTGTGATAATAATCTAAGCCTAAGCGAATCGATAACGATCACCAACGATCACGGAACCATGTGTAATTCGTATGAATTTTCTATACTGTAAACGTACGTTCTTACTGACAGATGCGTCCAAGCAGCTTCGTGATCCTTGCTGTTATATGTTGCTGCGCCGTATCATGCATTACGGCGACAGATAGTCAATCAACGGTAGAAAATTTCTCGTCGACCATCGATAACTCTGCCGTTCACCCGGAGAACGAAGGAAGTACGAGCGTGACGCTGAATAGACAGAAACGAACGCTTTTGCTGAAGAAAAAACTAATTGGCGCTGGACTTGTTGGCTTTGGTTTAGGAATTGCAAAAGGGTAAGTCTGTCTGCTGTAAGAGTACACTTAAGGGGAAATCGTTGTCGGTGACGTAGGGGGTTGTTTATGTGAAACAGATGAGAATACGTAAGTTAACAAGATGACAATCAGCGCGAACGTAAGAATGAGAACATTGTTTCTGGAGGATCTGGCGACGGAGTGGGGAAGGCAAAGAGAGGGTGCCTTCTGGTAAGAGATGAACATTAATTTCTGACATGCATACTCTTTACAGATACAAAGCTGGATATTATACTGCACCGCGTGTACAACACGTGTACCTGTCACCTCCCCCATCGACTGTTAAGTATGTCGAATACGTTGAAAAACCTATTTTCGTTGAAAAGATAATCGAAACGCCAACGTCCTTTAGTAAACCGGTACCAGTTGGATTCAAAGATTCTTTTCCGTACGGGTAAGCTGGACTTCCACATTCCGTATCTCTTATTCGACTCACCAGAATAATAGTACACCACTTATCTTTTTTATACGTATGTTCGTAGTTCTGCTTGGTAGAAACGGAGATCAATGGGTAAGTTACTCGGGTGACAGACGAATGAGACGAACCATCATCAATCGTAAAGTTAGTCAAGTATATTAAAAATAACGAAACTTGCAGCGAGCGAATCTGTACATAATATAAACATAAATGGAAAATAATTAAAGTCTAACTAATGTATAAGAACGTTGCGTACCTACCTACTTTGTATTTACTTCGTAATGTAAATCTATCGTAGCAGGGTCTTCCTCATTCTTTTGTGTTTGTGCACCGAAGCACGCGTCTACGATTACATTTAATGATTGACTATGACTATACTACATGTATTTTGTACACGTACGAATATATGTACGTAGAAATGCCTCGAACACAATTGTTGGAAGCGATACACCTATCTAATGTAAAAGTAAAATAAATAAAACATGACTCTGAGTTTATCCGCAATCAACAGGATTTTACTTTTCAAGGCGTAAAATGGCATTCATTCAATGATACTCGATTTTCGATCGCGCACCCCTTTCTTGGTCAGGAAATTATATTACCTGAATATACTGTGGGTGTTTGATAACAGGTGTCGGAAAATTGACGGGGTGCTTCTTTTCACAAAATTGCCATTGAGCCTTCGTTTTTTAGTTACAAACTGTGACAAATTAAAGTGCGAAATGTCAGAAAATAGAGAATCCACGTGAAACCGGCAAGCACTACCAGAGCAACTGAACGAACAGAGGGGCGTACAGTCACCGTAAAAAACCAATGGGAATTAGAAATATGATGCCGGTGTAGAAATTGTGGAAAGTTCGACGATATTCGTCGGTGTTGCGGAAGCTCTGTGTCAGTTTGTTTTTTTTTTTAAATTTTTGCACATTATTAAACTTATTGTTAGTTATTCTTTAAAATCCTCAGGGACTAAATCGAAAAAATTTGCATACGCACACACACGGCGAGTATTCACCAATAAGTTCACAAGTACACAGCGAGTATCCATTAAAAAGTTGGCACGTAGACAACGAATATTCACTAAAGAATTTCCATATAAACAACAAACGTCCAATACAAAACATACACATATACACGCGACGAGTATTCGTTAGTATATATATACATACATACATACATACATACATACATACATACATACATACATACATACATACATACATACAATGCCACGTGTCACACCTCACACCAACTACAACAAACAAAATTTAGCACTACATTACGCGAAAGTAACCGTTAAAAAATCAGTAGGTACATGGTACATACAACAGTATCTTCGAAACCGATCGCGCGTTGTATTATAATGTACATATGTATGTATAATACATTGTATATGTATAGATATATGTGCAATGTACCTACATCCTTCGAGGTGGCGAGAGAATCTGTTGTCAGGAGCTTCCATGGAAAGAGTCAATTCTCCGTAGCTCGACCACCCCCCCCCCCACTTCTTCAATGCCGTTGTTTTCACGGAAGAAAGTCGAATGGGAAAAATGTTCTGGACATTCGAATACTCTTAACTGTGTATGTAATACTTGTACCTTACATATTTTATTATCGATTATAATTTCTTTTTTCATATTCGTTTTTCATTCGTCTCGGTTCGTCAGTTTCCGATAAATGATTATCCGTTAAAATTTTTTAACCCGTACATTTTTTCGACGGATACAAAAGAATAAACTCTGAAAATGTTCTCCCTACATTTCTATGGAACACACGGTTCTCTCCACACCGACCATCAGGTCAATCTTCATTTTTTATCCTATATACATTTACATTTAGGTACACATGTAGGTACTTATACGCCTAACACACAGATTATTGCGTATCCACATGAAACATATTCGAAGTCGTTGCTCCCTCCTGTCATCATTTCTATGGCGCAGTAGATACATACATATGTGTATGTAGATATATGTCTTATATCTATATCTGAATTTGAATCATAACAGGATGTATTGTATTCAAAGAAATCGTCTAGTCGGTAATAATATCATACCAACGAGAAGAACAAATAGACAACCTACATTCCTAAACTTTAAAATTTCGAATTATTGTCCACGATTTGGAAGCGACAGAGCAAAGTGCTGCTAACGACGATAATGAAAACAGTTTTAAGCTTGAACGGAAAGTATACACGAGTCTCAACTCGATAAATCTCTCTTTTGTCCATCTTCATTCTACATACCTATGTTCATACATACATAGTTATTGAATTCCCTGCCGACCGAATTCATTAACGTTTTATGTATTGTATATTCAATAGTGTATACATACAACGTACATTTTAATAGAATTTAGAATTCGTAATTTTCAATGCGATGAATTCAATGGACATTTTACATAGTCGTTCCACCAAGTACATATTACCATTTTAAGAGAGTCCTGAAAAGAGAACTGGATAGACTCATCCACTCTGTCTTAACTGTAATATGATTTTCATTCGACGTTGGAAACAGAAATCAAAAGAAATGCGTATGCGCGTCAACGTTTGTTCGTAGTAGAGATTGTCAATCGCGATAATGTGAGTATATGTACTTAATTTGTTTTTTTTTCTCTCTAGACTTGGCGCAATTATTTGCGTATGTAGCGATCTACATACATGACGCTGTTGTTATTGGTTACGACTCATCGCTACCGCACAACCGCGTTGCAATTAGATGAAAAACAGATTCAAGGGAATATGCTACATACATAAATACCACATATTATTTTTACGTCGATCGAACATTATCTTTTCCCTGTAATGTGTTTTCATTTTTCAATAGACAATTAACTCATAAAGGCCCGCGACGGCCGATTGTCTCAATCCGTGCCAAGTTTTAAACGAACAACCGCGTTTTGTCGTTTAACCGATGGAACACAGGTTAAATTCAAGGTGTTCAACGAAGTGTCAGAGATTCCACTGAGAGCGACACCGATGCTGCTTGTCGGTAGTGTTGAAGGAGAGGATTCGGGGTCGAAGGGATTTCCTCGATACGCTCTAAATCATTTGCCGCGCCCGCGCTGTTTTGCTTGTAAAGCCGGGGCATAGTTTTTAGATTTTGTTGTTGGTGTTGCTGTTGATGATTGGTCTGTTCAGTGAAACCAATGCAGACAGCTTCATCCGGTCGATCCAAACTAAATTGCCTCTTCAAGAAACGACAACTTGTAGTTGTCCTCCCTAAAACGAAAGGGGTCAAAGAGAAGATGTGATGGTCGTTCGTGTATCCGCATACGTACACGTATATATGATACGTTGAGGACGAAGATTCTCGAATGAAGGAGACCTTGTGCGAAATACACAAGAACTTACCATAATGTTCATTCGGAGAAAGACATCTGTAGTGATTGTACGGTGTGCTCAAATCATTCTCATCGATGTAGCCGGCTATTCTACGGTGTCTCACCGGTCCAGGTCTGTAAGGAGCCGCGGCTGAGCTTGAAATTGACGTGAGGGAAGTGGTCGATGCACCCAAGATAGTTGTTTCGCCGGAATATACAGTGGATGCCCCCAATGATGTACGTGCCTCACCGGAGGAGGTATTTTTCATTACGCTAAACGAATCTGTAGATAGTTTCGGCGAACAGTTTACGCCGTGACTTTTCTCATCGTGCACGGGTACCGGTATCGCGAGCTCCGCGTCTTTTTCCTCGATTCGTGCTTCCGTCGTCTCTCCCGTTGCCTCTTGACACGCAGACGAATCCTTGCTCGGGAACTTGTCGATCGGCGGCACGATGACAGTTTTCGTCTCCGTTTCCGTTTCCGTTTCCGTTTCCACCTCCATTTCCGTTTCCGTTAAATTCTCCAATATTAAACTCTCGTTCAATCTTCAAAGACCGAAGAATCGAATGCGTGCAAAATCGAAAATCGCTAAGTTTCAATCAGTTCATGATCAGAAATATTTTCTATATACGTCCTATTATTATTATAATATTATAATAGAACAAAGGAAAAATCACCCGCGTTGGTTCTTCCGTACACGTAGCGAAGAATATACCGACTTTATACGTATCTATGTACACATTTATAATTGCATGTCAGTACCTAGTACCTACTTATAATAGCAACAAATGGTTTTTTGCGGACAACTTACCCATGGTTTTCCCTGAAGATGGCGGCAGTATGGCAACAGATAAAAGCATTAAAAATCTGAAAAGCAAACAGCTCGAGTGAAGATCTACCAAATCAAAGTACATATGTATATACGTAGACGCGATGACCGTTACTGTAGTTTTCTTTGCTTTTCATTGCCTGAATGCTAGAAGAAGAAATAAGCATACAGAATAGACGGAAGATTCGGTGAAAAACGACCGCTATACATATGTATGTATTGTAGTTGGCTATCGACGAGATGATGGTAGAAATTTCAACGCAATAAGCCTCGAATACGCAACCGTGCAACGAAAAATCCAGATGATACAAGTAAATAACAGAGGAAATGATCGTTATGAAAGTATACATATGTCTCCTAATGAATCTGGATGCGGTATGCGGTGTAGAATGTTTCCGATCATTTTCAATGTATATCCATTCATTTAAACTTAAACTGATGTACGACGCTGTATCGTTCTACGCGATAAACGAATAATGAGCCGCATATAAGGGCTTACCCGAGTGACGGCGGTGTTGGCAGTTCTTTATCGAAACCTTGTTTTCCTAGTAACCAGTAAGTAGGCATTTTTCCTTTGCCTTTAACCTCCGTCGGTCCCCGATACTCGATGTTATATCCACCAACCTGGGATAACTTATCTTTCGTCGCTTGGCTCAAATGTATGCGCCATGGAGCACCAGTAGATTCCATTCTCGATGCGGTATTCACTGTATCACCGAAAAGACAGTACCGCGGCATCGTTAAACCAACAACGCCGGCGCAGCATGATCCTACGGTTCACAGTAGTTAGCAATTAACCATCAATTCCGAGAAAATATAACAAACCCATATGGTACTACTACTACCGACCGGTATGAAGTCCAATACGGAGTCTCAGTTGAGTGTTCGGTAGGTGTCTTAACTTGAACTTTCCGCTTTGATGCAATAAATCGAGGGCCATCGTAGCTATTTGAGAAGCATGATCGGGTATTCTGACAGGACAACCACCCACGACCATATAAGCGTCTCCTATGGTTTCTACCTGAAACATTTAAAAGGGTAAAGTTTCCTAGTTATCGGAACGAAGCTTATTCCGGAGTAATGATTTTTCTCCATTATCAACGGTAACTACATTCGTTTCTACGCGCGTGTGTTTGCGTGTGCGTGTGCGTGCGTGTGTGTGTGTATGTATGTATGTATGTATGTATGTATGTATGTATGTATGTATGTATGTATGCATGTATGTATGTATGTATGTATGTATGTATGTATGTATGTATGTATGTATGCATGTTTGTATAATCGTTCCATTTATGTAATAACGAATGCCGCACGTGGTATCCCGAACCCATCACCTTGTATACGGTGTACGCGTTGATCGTTGCGTCGAAACAAGTATACAGATCGTTCAATAGGTCGACTACTTGGAACGGAGTCGAGTATGCAGAAATGGTTGTGAAACCAACGATGTCCGAAAAATAGATAGTCACCTCGCGAAACTCTTCGGGATCAACGGGCATTCCCAATTTTAATTTTTCAGCAACCGAACTGAAATGAAACATTGCGAGTCTATTGAATACGCGCGTACGTACGCCCTCGTGTTTTCGTATTCGAAATCATTTCCCTCCTCCTCCTGTTTACCTTGGTAACATTCGGTTCAATAATTGCTCTGTTTTCTTTTTCTCCATGTCCAATTGCTCGGTGCGTTCCCGTATCAACTCTTCCAGGTTATTCGAATATTTTTCCAACATTTGAAACATCGTGTCTACGAAATTCACCTTTCTGAGAATGATAAGAAACAAATGAGTACCACACCATCACCACCACCAGCAGCAGCAGCAGCAACAGGACGAATGTGTCGTTTGCACTGTCGTGTTTCGAGCGAGTGAAAAAATTCAGAGATAACAGGATGGAATCGAATGCGAGAATGTGTTCCGTTACGTACATATATGTACAATATACATATACTTCACCTTCCGTGATTCAGTTTCTTGAAAAGATCGTGAACATCGTCAAAGTCGGGTCTCATGTCTGCCGCTTCCGCCCAACATTGACGCATGATGTTTATCGCTTCTGGTGGTGCGGCGCCTTTACTAACGGACGGTCTAATCAACGGCGGCGGCTTCGTCACTTTTTCGATTATATCTATGACACCGAAAGGAATAGCTGCAATTTCAAACTTGACGCGTGCATACGTATTTTTATACATATGCATATGGATGATAGGTGTACATCGTCGGCAGGTGAAAACAACAATACACGTTGGGAATTCAAGGTTTTAACGAACACTTTCGCTTACCGTCCGGAGACAAAGCGAGCATGCAAAACGGTTCTCCGCGAACCACGACTTCTTGCATAATAATCCCAAAACTATAAACATCACCCGCTTGCGTTCCTTTCTTTTGCAGATTCGGTTGCCTTAACAGCTCAGGCGCCGTCCACAAGAGATCTACGACAAGTCACGACACACATAGATCATTCCGTTCATCTTAGTCTTCACTCGCGAGACGAAACTTTACCGCGTACCTCGAGCCGTTTTCAGCGGGGGTGTGATGTTCTGAGCTTCGTAAAACGCGGGTAGTCCGTAATCGGTCACCTTGAGAACCCAACGAGCGTCGATCACGCAGTTACGCGAAGTAAGATAACCGTGTACTCGTACCGGTGTCCCATGAAGATATCTCATACCCTTTATGGTAAAAATCATGAAAGAACGAAACTTACTTCTGACAACGAATTAGGAAAGTTTGCGAATCAGGAATCGCTCGGAATCCCTTCACTCACCCGTACAAGATCGGTAAGCAAGGAGAGTCTGAAGGACCAGTCCAACTTGATCTCATCCTGTACCAATACGTCTTCCAACGAACCCCTCGAACAATGTTCGTAAACGAGGCACGGCCTTGTCGATTCGTTCAGACATCCGATCAGAGGATTCAAATTTTCATGACGTAATCCGTGCATCTGTGCATAGTCAAGCCACAACGTACAAGTTTAAACGCTTTTACATTGGTCGCAACGGTTCTTCTTTAAACTATTACATACATATATACATACAATATACATATCTACCTATGTACATACTTATGTATGTATCGTATATTGTTCGGAAAGGCGTTCTTACCACGACCACGACGTCCATAGCCTTGTTTTTCAGTTCGAACGTACCCTGTGTCGGTAGTTCTTTCAGCTGCACCAAATCACCCTAACGAACAACAAAATAGCGGATGTACACACATTACGTATTATACACATTAAATAGACACATACATACGTACATTGTATGTACGCACATACATTTACAATGGGTAACAAAAGTATGCTACGATCTACTTGTTTCTTTGTTTCTTTGTTTGTTCATCTAAAATCTAAATATACATATACAAGTTCGTTACTTTGTATACTAACGTTGTATTGAGCACGTGGCACTTTAAAGAAATTATGACGCGCCAGATTCCCTGTGCTCACTCGTAGATACGGCCTCAACGATGACACACTTCCAAGTTGAAGAAGATCTGGTTTCTCCACCTCGGGGCCACCAAACTCTTGCAATTGTTGCAACCAACAAGATAACATCGTCTCGATACCTTCGTCCACCTGTAGTGTTTCACTCGTGAACGTGTTTTCCGTATGTATCTACTTATATGTAAATGTGTACCTTTTGCAACCTACCCACAATAAACTTACCCTTCTAAAATCTACTCCAGGCACTTGCGGAAACACGAAATCCGACGTTGTTAAAATGATCTTATACGGACCTTTCGACATTCTTTTCTGAACGAGTTTTCTCCTATGTGGAAAAACAAGGGTTAAATGGTGAAATATAAATTTGAGAATACTCAAATGTAAATACGGTTCTACAGGTCTCGGTCGCGAACAGTTAGGCCCGAGTTTTCCAACCTAGAGAAAACCTTCTCAAACAATCGAAATTGATTTTAGCAGAAAGAAAAATTTTAAAACTCGTCGTTACGGATGAATCTCTTGCTCACCGTTCATTAGTTCTCACGAGGCAATGATATAGAATATACATACATACATATATTTGCGTTATAGAAATTTATTAAATCATTTCATTACCTGATCAAGATGGTGGTTAATATCGCGAACATGGTCAATAACAGCGATCCCAGAATAATAGTTATGATACGCGCAATGCGAAACGCTGTTTCATCGGAAGAATTCTCTGAAAGAGAGAAACAGTACCGACCATCTTCACGAATTCATAAAAATTCTAACAATATTCAAGATGCGTTAAAACAGAATAAGGCCTAAAAATTTATTAACAAAATAAAACAGATTGTCCGGTTACTATGTACAGTGACAAAAAGTAAATAACTTTTATTTACTTCTTACCTGTACATTCGACACCGGTATTTGAACCTTCCAGTTCCGCGCCGCATTTCAAAGTCTCAATGTCGTTCCCATCGCGAAACACCGAGGCATTGGTAGTCAACTTCCGAACAACAAGTTCTCTACGTTGTTCCATGCTGATCATTATTGGTTTCCAAGCATCGACACGCCAATCCAATAAGACGTACGCGTACATTTTATTGTTATAAGCGTTTATGGTAGAGTTGTCGTACATTAATATCGTAAGAGTTTCATTCAAGTGATCGAACAGCGATGGGGTCGCGTACCGTTCAGTACCTTCGTACACTTTTTCCACATCGTATCTGTGTGTGAGAGATGAATGCAAATAGTTTTGAGTTATTGCTTAAACCGCGAGCTTTTAACCACAAATACGATAGTCGCGATACGACCGATCAGGACGGATCATGTTTACCTATGATCGAGGGGCGTTATTATCAGAAGTTTCTTTAGGAAGTCGGAACTCAAATTTTTCGGTGGTAAATATCGACTTTTCCTTTCTCCTTCATCTTCTTCTTTTTCTTTTTCTTCTTCTTCTTGTTTTACTTCTTCTGTTCCTTCTTCTTCTTCTTCTTCTTCTTCTTGTTTTACTTGTACTTTTTCCTTTTCTTCTTCTTCTTCTTCTTCTTCTTCTTCTTCTTCTTCAACTTCTTCTTCTTCATCTTCTTCTTCTTCTTCTTCTTCTTTTTCAACTTCTTCTTTTTCAACTTCTTCTTTTTCAACTTCTTCTTTTTCTTCTTCTTTTTCATCGAATATTCCAGGAAAACGAGTTTCACGGGATAGATTGAAAAGAGAAACATTGGAAGACGTTAAATTCGCGGACGAAATAGATGCTGTTATATCCGAGTGAGAAACTGAAGAGTTGCTTTCTGGTAAAAAGAAGTCATCCTCTTTGGTGTGAACGATCACGGTGGTCGGGATCCTCATGAGATTTAACGATTTCCGTGCGTCGTCCAACTCGGTAAGGACCCGAGATGTTATTTCATTATCATCCGACGTGGGTAGACACAACAAGGTAACTGTGAACAGATGAAACGAAACGGTGTCCAACTTTGGACTTTGATCGGTTATCACGGGACACGCCTCGGTAAATTGTGATTGTCAAAGCAGTTAAAAAGCCATGAAAATGTACCCGCTTCGCGCAACGGAAATCGACTCACCTCTGCGAGAAATATCGTGCATTGGACGCAGGAGTCTGTGAATCTCTTCGGGGGAAGCATGGTACGGTAATATCACGCGATATCGCAATACAGCTCCGATACTTCGAAGAGCGTTTAACAGAGATCTATCGAGGCTCGACCAAGGTTCGCAATCTACAATACAAAGTAGTTTTTTCACAATTATGTACATACGTGTACGATCATGGTCGTGGTTGTCAACAATTTCGAACGCAATGTACTTTACCAGTTCCTATTACAGTTACAATTTTCCATTCTAAGTTCATCAGGATCTCGGCTAGAGCCCTCGCTATCGCAGGCAACGACGGCGACAGTCTGATGATCGACGTAAAATCTTTGACATCCGCATCATTTGCCTGAAACCGTGTTAGAAATCGACAATTTTGGAACGTCACGATTGAAAGCAGATAGGTAACTGGCATTACTTACCAAAGGGCACGTCCATGTAAAAAGGGGTACATTCCAAAGACGCGTCAGTTTAGCTGTGATTTCGCACATGGGTGCATCAAGAGCAGCGACGAGGGCTTTCGTTCTTCTTCGTCCGAGTATACGTAACAAGGTATCAAGACCTCGTGTTTTTCTTTCGCACGACACTAAGAAAGAGAAACGGATAACTTCCTGTGACGATAGCCATTAAATAGTATATTATTTATTTTTCTATTTCGATCATTTTTTCACTGTCTCGACAACGCGATCGAACAAGTTTCCAGTGAATATGCACTCTACGTACATATTTACAAACCCAAGCAACAATAATATATAACAATGAAAACAATGAATACATTCGGGTAATTTGCTTGCAGTTAAAACTCGTAAAATTGCAGTTTCAGACAATGTGCGAACAATTGAAAAATCGTCACATGTCTAAATATAAGTACCTAGTTCAAGCCGTCCGATTTCTATCGATGGGATATACATAGAAACGCGCAACATCTACTTACAGGAAGTAGGTATCACGGTGATCCGTACATCGAAGTTAAATCGATCGAAGTATCCTTGAATATCCGTAGTATTCGTTTCAGTATCACAATCTTCTCGTAGAAAAACCGTCACTTCCGTTTCTGGTTGTTCATTGACGTCCTCGGTTACATTCGATGAGTAGGAAACACACGGAGCTCGGTCGGTACTGGATAGAAGGAAACAGCCGGAAAAGATCACGATCAAGATCCACCTAACCCAGAACCGGCGGAAACAGTTCCCGGCCATGGGCCTCTAACCAACCCTGACTTGTCCTGACTTCCGCTCAGTGCCCAGTAGGTATGCTATACGCTCGACAGTTTGTCTTCACAGCCGCTAGGTAGTCTATTGACCCGTGTCTATTCGATTTTGTGTTCGTTTTCTCCCAGTGTATTTGCTAATAAATAGAAAAATAATATCTAATATATACCTATCCGTAGAGTGTCGCGACACAAGTACACAACCTGGAGATTAATCGCTACAGAACGCATAATTTCACCTCCATTATTTTCTCCTTTCTGAACCTTCTCCTCCACATTTTCCCGACAATTTCTACAAACATGTATGCGCATAAATACGTACAATGTAACGACTACAAGTGTTGAACATTACGTTGCCAAATATACACATATTTTCAAAGAAACTATCAATCGAACGTATCGATGTATCTAGTCGGATATACCTATTTTGACAAAATAATTTTATCACCGTGCCGTAGGTAGGGGAGAGTTTATTTATGGCAAATTCCTGAGATACGCGCGGAAGTATGGACAATAAACGATGACGAGCGGTAGTAGTAATCAGAGCGTGCACGATCTTTTCGTACAAAAAAAGGTGTCGTCCAACTTAATCACGGTAGATTAAAGCGCCGTAAACATTTTCCACCACATTTAGTATAATATTTACCGATACTAAAAATACTTTAATATTTTCGAAGAATTTTCCTGAGCGATGATGTTATCTCTCATCATTATCCCATTATGTATTACAAACTGAATTGGTTCGAAAACACGTTGTTCAATACAATTGACAAATGTTTACGGATTAACGCTTTCAAAGAGCTAAAACACTTATCAAGGATTATTGTTGTCTTTTTTTCACTTTTGCGTGTGCAATAGATAAAATAGATGCTTCTTGAACAATGGCAACTGTGGTAATCGTAAATCAGTGTTTCCTTCGTTGGAAATTTTTTCTTTATATGCAATGTTACTAGAAGTAATCAGTCGAAACAATAAAGTTATCGGATTCGAATGAATTCTTCTTTACGGAGGAGAATCAAAAAAGAGTCATTGTTTTCTCTACAAACATACAAGATGTGAATTTCGAGGAAGCAAGTGTAATTGCTAATAATGTACCTACATACTTGATAGGCGTAATAGAATAGACGGTGATATCTACATCGGTGACTATCCTATTATAAATGTAGACGTTATTGCAAGCTCAAATTGTAAATACGTACGTACGTATATACATGTATGTATCTCGTTCGCTTTCTTCTTTAGACAACAAGTTACGCGCGGAAAAGTAAGTAACGATATCAGTAAAAGTGTAACAGAATCGTTGAAAACATATGATCTTACCGGTTTTCTTTTCCCAAGGAGGATCGACTGTCGAAGAGTTGTTCCCTCTTTTTTTGCTTGTGTATACACCAGAAAAGGTTGCGTGGTTTCGATGAAATTTTCAAAATACGCATATCGCGAGTGACCGAGAACAAAAATTCGTGTTCGATTCACCACGCGTTACAAAATTTTCTTATTTTTAATGCGACTGGAGTAAAGCGAGTATGCTGTAAAACAGGAGCTGCGAAAGACCAAAATCAAGTGAAATATATAAATGTTCATGGACGGTCCGAACGCCTTGGCGTCCGATATCGAACTAAGTTGCCTACTACACCCTTCTACACATGCTCGGGAGCTGACGTTATCACGGGGGAGGTCTGTCCCGGGGAGCAAGACGAGCAGCCAGCATGCAACCCCTCGCCATGCTCAGTAACATTTTTGCTTCGTCAACGATCGTTTCCCTGTGATTTTCGCATCTCCGTTATTACCATTAACATTGGAATTGTTGTTGTTGTTGTTCTTGTTGCAGCCATACCATTGAAAATATCACTTCCTGTTTATTCCTTCGCGTTCCCCGTAGGGAATTGGAGCATATCGCACAATATAAATGACAGAAAACGAAGTGACAATTTGGAAATCCGGTCGATACGATGACGTTCGTCGTTCACTGTCGCGCCAATAAGAGTGTGTGTGTGTGTGTGTGTGTGTGTGTGTGTGTGTGTGTGTGTGGAATACAATAAACAGCAACGATCTCAAACAGAAAAACCAATAAATGCTGGTGTATAGTTATTCAACTTATCTACGGTATTGCCATTTCTTTTCTACGTATTCACGGAATGATACACTTATATAATTTATGGAAAAACATACCTTATGCGTAATAAAAAATTTTCGGAGAGAGCTTGGGATATGTACGCGGTTGAATTCATTCATTAGTCGTAGGGTACATTGGAACGTAAGTT